AAATTAAATTAAATAAGTAAAAATTTAATAAGAGGCTCCCAGCGTGGAGGAGGTCTCAAGACGCCCTCAAGTTGACTCCTGGGTAATTCACACGAATCCCGTTTGAAGCTTTGCTTACAGAAGCTGGGTCACGGACAGAAAACACATGAAGATGTCATGACCAAGTGTTTCTCTTTCATCCCATCTGTAAAGGGGAAAAGAGGCGCCGAGGTCAGAATCTTCTCTCCTTTGTGCCCTCGTGACTCCGTCCTTACCTTGGTGGTTGGCGAGCCGCTCGGACTGCGCCGGGAAGGCCGGTCCTCCCAGACTCTGCGGCCGGTGAGGCGATGTCTGCTCCACCTGGTCCTGGAAAAGGGCAGGAGCAGACGGGCTCTGTTCAGAAGCAGCAGTTCACACCTGTCCCAGCCACCAGCCCCCGGCCTCCTTTCTTCCCCGATGTCCTAACTTCTTCTCGTTTATTTAACTTTTCAGTTTCAGATGATAGTTGTTTAAAATATGCTATAAAAGGGAAGTTAATCTTGAAAAGGTATAACCTTTGTTGTTTATCTGTTTTATATACATATGTTAGTTAGTATCTGCAAATCCCGAACTCCCAATTTATCCCTTCTCACTCTCTATCTCCCCTGGTACCTGTAATTTTGTTTTCTACATCTATGTTTACTGTACAGCACAGGGAACTATATTCAATACCTCGTGACAGCCTATAATCAAAAAGAATATGAAAAGAAAAAAATATATATATATATGTATAACTGAATCACAATGCTGTATACCAGAAACTAACACAACACTGTAAATCAATTACACTTCAATAAAAAAAGAAAAAACAGGGACCTTGAAGAAAAGTTACTCCTGTTTTGTTTTTGGTTTTTTTTTTTAGCTTAAGTTGCTTCCCCTGAATGGCAATTCAAAATGAGTTATCGTCAAGTGCAGGATTTAAGCAATGAGTACAAGTAATGAGCCTTTGCGGGAGCACCTGCCTTTTCTGTGACGATGACTGGGAATCATGCCCTAGGCGGTCTGCTATCTGGTAGGAAACACCTAGAGAATATTTCATAATCGGGTCCCCCCACAAAGCGTCGGGAGCTTAGTGATATTTTTTTAGACCTCAGGGTGAGGACAAAAATTTGAGGCAGAAGTTAAAACAGTAATATTGCAGCCAAGCGCACAACTCCAGAAAACCACCTTCATGGGTTTATAGTTGAGCCCGTGAAAGATGTATTAAAATGTGGGAGAAGACGGACATGACAAGCCGACAGCTAACATCGCACTCAACGGTGAAAAGCTGAAAGAAAGCCTTTCCTCTTAGATCAGGAACAAGACAAGGGTGCCCTCTCTCGCTTTTGTTCAACACAGTATTGGAAGCACTAGCCAGAGCAATTAGGCAAGAAAAAGAAATAAAAGGCATCCACACTGGAAAGCAAAATGTAAAACTGTCTGCAGATGATGTGGAATTATATACAGAAAACCCTGCAGACACCATCAAAAAACTGTCAGAACTAAACAATGAATTCAGTAAGTTGCAGGGACAAAATCAGTGGTATTTCCATACACTAAAAATGAACTATCAGAAAGAGAAATAAAGAACATAATCTCATTTACAATTGCATCAAAAAGAATAAAATACTGAGGGATAAATGTAACCAAGGAGATGGAAGGCCAGTGTACCAAGAACAATAAGACATCACTGAAAGAAATGGAAGATGCAAATAAACGGAAGATATCTCATGCTCATGGATTAGAAGAATCAATATTGTTAGAGTGTCCGTATTACCCAAAGCAATCTACAGGCTCAACGCAATCCCTATCAAAGTTCCCATGCCATTTTTCAAAAGAATTGAGCAAATAATCCTAAAATTTGTGCATGGAACCATGAAAAGCCTGAAGAGCCAAAGCAACCTTGAGAAGGAAGAACCAAGCTAGAGGCATCACATTTCCTGGTTTCCAACCGCAGTGGCTTCCATATCTGTGGGTTCCACGTCCAATCATTCAACAACTCTGGATCGAAAATATTTGAAAAAAAAAAATTCCAAAAAGCAAAGGAACTGCCACACACCACCAGGGTAGCACATTTCTGCTGTATTTCCAATTGCTTGGATACTGTTTATATTATAGTACGTATTGCAAGTAATCTAGAGATGATTCAAAGTATATGGAAGGATGCATGTAGATTATATGCATGCTCCACTGCTTTACATAAGGGACTTGAGCATGTGCAGATTTTGGTATCTAATGGGGGTTCTGAACCTGTTTCTCCCTGGATGCCGACGGATAACGGTATATTACAAAGCCACAGAAATTAAAATAGCGTGGTATTCTGGGTCGGGGTTTCGTACGTAGCAGAGCAGCTCCCTCGCTGCGATCTATTGAAAGTCAGCCCTCGACACAAGGGTTTGTAAAAAAAACAAAAGAAACAAATATTAATTTTAAAACAAAAATGAAAAAAAAT